CCCCAAAACCCCAAAACCCCAAAACCCCAAAACCCCAAAACCCCAAAACCCCATTAACTTCTCTCTCAATTGAAGATGACTTTTACTGGAAGAGATCTCAGAATTTTATCGATTTTGACTCTGAGATCTGGAAGCAAGAGAAAACCAAGCAACTATTTGGCATATTTGACTTCGAATGTGGCTTCTGATGGTCTCTAGAGCTTCTAGAACATATCTGATAGCGTATCTGATCAGAATCGGATTTTGGTCTGAGATATCTAGAGATAACTCATTTTGATTGGCAGATTGAGGATTTTTGCCACAGAGTATTAAATAAAAGGAGGAAATTTTGACAAAAATTAATAATCAAATAATTTAAAAATGGCAGGAAAAGGAAAAGGAGCAGGAGGAAGAGGAAAGGCAGGAGCCGCTAGACCAGTCTCAAGATCAGCTAAGGCTGGACTTCAATTCCCAGTAGGAAGAATCGCCAGATTCTTAAAGCAAGGAAGATATGCTGAGAGAATTGGTGCTGGTGCCCCAGTCTACATGGCCGCCGTTCTTGAATACCTCGCAGCTGAGGTTCTTGAACTCGCCGGTAACGCCGCCAGAGACAACAAGAAGACCAGAATTGTCCCAAGACACATTCAACTCGCCATCAGAAACGATGAGGAATTGAACAAGTTGATGAGCAACACCACCATCGCCAACGGAGGAGTTTTGCCAAACATCCACGTATTCTTGCTCCCAAGCAAGAAAGGAGATGCTTCCCATTAAGCATTTTGTATTAATGTTAGGTCATTAACATAAAAATTCACTAAATTTAAGCTTTTCTTCTTCTGGGTTGGGTAAAAAGAACATATTTGGGCAGGGGGATCTCTATTTAGACTTTAGTTCAGTTATGGGGAGTAAGAAAAGGGTAGAATAGTGAAAAATACTTTGATTAAGAAATATGAGGCATATATCTTTGAATATTAAATCAGAATTCTAAATACCAAACTAGAATTCAAACCTTTACTCAAACCGCATTTTTACAGTCACTAGCCATTTTTTTTAATTTAATTAATTAAAAATTCTAATCACACCTCCCTCTTCTCCCTTCCCCTATCTCCTCTCTTTCACACCCATTCCTCCACTATCTCTTTTTCCACCCCCAAAACCCCTTCTTCCATCTCCATTTGCTAAATCCTCTTTCTGAAAATTCCAAAACCTTGCTCACAACTTCTTAAAATAACTTTTCAGGAAGTCTGCAGACCAGGAGTGGCAAGCAGAGAGGTGATGGACATCCTGAGTGGGAGAGAGGTTTGGAGGTTTGGAGATTTAGGGGTTGTGAAAGAGATTTTTGAGAAATTTGTATGAGTAATTTAGGGTTTTAGGGGATTTTAATGGAGGAATTTTGGCGGTAAGGAGGCGGGAAGTTCGGATTTGGGCTTGGGAAAGTGAAGAAAGGGACCTGTCTTGGGGTAATTGAGTGTAAGGAAGGTTTAAAGAGTGGCTTTTGGATTCTGGAGTAAAGGAAATTTGATTTTTTAAGGGCAACCTTAATTCAAATTGTTTCTTAAGTTAAAATAATCAATTGTCAATTAAATTTTCAGAGCAGGGGTTTTGGGGTTTTGGGGTTTTGGGGTTTTGGGGTTTTGGGG